ATTAATTCGGTCTAATGACTTCTTCTAATAATTAGTAATATATTCAAAGCAATCTGTTGTTATGTATAAAGACAAACTGAAGCTCTTCTTCCACAGATGACTCCAAAGCATCATTAAATTGAACAGCATTTACATTTTTTAAAAGCAGCTCTTCCCTTAACTACAAAAATAGGAAGCGTTACCAGTATGACAAGTTGCCATTTTCATGGTACTTTTTTTCCTTCCTTCACATCATATTAAATAGATTTGCTTAAATAAGACCTTGAGCTTATTTGGTTTTCTTCATGAGACAACTGCTTTTAAAGAAAATGCCTTGTTCCCTTACAAAGACAAAGCTTCCTTGATCCCTGTCTGAGGGGGAAAATAATTTCAGTGAGTGCCTTAAAGTTCTTGAATGGGTGTAGTGCATATGTTCCAATGTTCCTTTGAAACCAAGGAAAAATGAGTATTGAATTTGTGAATATTGCCAAAATACATTAATATTCATGAGGTTTAGTTGTTTTGGTTTGGTTTTGTTTATTTGGGGGGGGGGGGGGGGGGGGGGGGAGCAGGAAGAATTTGTTTCTTTTTTCCCCTGTAGGAAAGTAATTGATAAAGCAAAATGTTCTTCCCTTTCAGAAACTTTTGGGTACTAGGTGGCCTTACATATATGGGGCTTTTTCCAGCTTTAGTGAATGAAGGGATGAGGGTTTAAAATGGTGTTTTCTTTGTTCCTTTTCCTCTCTTACACTTTTAAATTAAATGCAATGTGTCCTTCAGCATGCAGGAGAAAATTCTGCTTATGGGTTGGGGCTGTGCCTTATGGCTTCCACAGCCTGGAGTGCAGCTGGTGGTCATCAGCTGAGGGATCCATTGAAAGCTGACTTTGCAAACACATCTTTTCAGGGTGAGATGGTCCTTGTAGCTTCAGATCTTTCTTGGAGGCTTGAAGTCAGGCTCTGAGCTGGCTGCACCAGGTGAATACAGCCTGGCAGCCGTGGCTCCCTGGCACTTGGAACTTGCAGCGTTCCACTGCTGTTGGAGGAGTCCTGGTGGTGTGTCTGCTCTGTGTGGTGCTTCTGTGGGCCACAGGAGTTCCTGTTTGCCTGTTCTTCAAACAGGGCAGCTCTGCTTTGGTCAGTCCCAAGTCCACTGGTGTGGGTGGGGAGGAAGCTGCAACAGCACGGCTGTGGAACTCCCAGTGAATGCCAATTCATCTTGCCTTCCTCACTGGGGCCAGGTTTGTCCTTAGTCCCTCACATTGCTGGTGTGCAGTGAAGGCTTTGTGCCCTCCGTGCAGAAACAACCTCCTGGCCCCACTGGCTTTGTTACAGGGGGAGAAGAGGAGGTGACCAAGTCCTTCTACCAAATAAATCAAAATTACTTGGTAGTTCTGATGCCTTCCTTTTTCTTTGAACACTTGCAACTTCTTCTAAAGCCTCTTTACAGGAAAGTAAAAGTCACAAGTCTTCTTTCATATGTGCTGGCCACAAATGAGCTCCTTTTTCAGAGTAACAATAGAGCAGCTCAGGGATTCGACTTTCCTAGTCAGGTATCACAGTGTAAAGCCATGCCTGTCTATTTTGACATGCTAAGCTCCACCTCTGTATTTTCTCTTTGTTCAGATTTAAGCTCATGGTAGTTTTCTTGTTCATTGTAGAACAAAGTTTTATTTAAGGGGTAGCAGTGGTCCAAGTGCTCATGCTGTTGAACACATGGAACTTCAAGTTTGTCGGCTGCATATCCAACAGATCAAAGAACTCTTTTTTGTGAACCGTGACTCAACAGTGATGAGATTTAAGATTGACATTTTAGATGGCTGTTACTAAGATGAATGAAGATTCATGATTCAGACTGTTTCTTTCTCAAGCCATACTGCTTGAATTCTCAAAAACCTTGCAATTCTGGCTTTTGTCTCGTGGCTAATAGATGATGTGTGGGTCTCACAGTTACCATCAATCTGTACATTAAAGGAGGCAAGTGCAACATAGGAGTAAGCAAATGAGTGCTGTGGCCAGCTGCAATTTGAACAGCCCTTTGAAATTATTTACTAGTCTGTCTGTTTCAGAAGCAGTTGATTTACTATTCAAGGATCGTGTCCTCCTCCAGCTGGCAGCCTCTGCCTCTCCCAGTGTGGTGTGCTGAGCTGAATTGATGGCCCAGGCTCCGCAGGGATGGCCGTGGCTGGCAGCAGGAGCAGGATAGATAGTCTCTGGGCACTGCCCCTCTCCTCCAGGCTTGCTGGCAGCAAAGCAGTAGCCCCAGTTGCCATTCAGGCAGGCACAGCTGTGCCTGCCATGGCCCTTCCTCGGGCCACGCTCAGGAGGAAGCGTGGTGCCAGCTGAGTCAGTGTCGCTTCCTGTAGCACCTGTTCTTATCGGCTCCTGGAACACATTATTCACTAGGGTTTGCCCTGCTTCACTGGGAACTCTGAATCACTGCTTTCAGGGTAATGGGGCTTTAGATGGTTTTCTGGATTAAGAATCACGTTTTAATTGCCTTCTCTGTTACAGGGGAATTCGTGTTTGCTCTGCCAAAATGTGTGATAAGCCTGCATCCCATTACGTTGATTCAGTTTCATTTTCTAGTGTGTTTCCCTTATTTAAAGCAAATAGAGCTCTTTAATTCCTGGGAAACAGTGAGTCATGCATTTTGATACTATAAAATGTGACACCTGCAAAACTCTGTTTTCTCACAGCATGGTTGGAAATGTTATCAGGTCTAGGATCAAAGCTGTGCTTCAACAGAGGTCTGGTCACATGAGGCTTTATTGGGATTTGTAGAGATGTTTTGTCACCAGACTGCTATGTAGGTGTTTGAGTACTCCAACATACACACCCTCTTTTGTGGCACCCTTGATTATACCGTAGCATGCAAATATAAATGCACAGATGAGATACAGAGGTTCTTTAAAAAAACAAAAAATCACCATTTTTTGGAAGTTTAGCTGTAGTAGTAATGAATATTGTCGTGTTTAAACTGGGGCTAGACTTTGGTCTTGAATTTGAGACTGTAATCCATGTATCTAGTAATTTATGGGCGTATTTTATATCTATTAAAGTGGTTACGTTATGTATGTGTATATCTGTCTCAAAGGAAACGTGCAAAGGTTTCCCTAAATTGTTGATATTGTTTTTGGCTTTTATTGGAGGTTTGCAGATCTCACTCTTGCAGACTTTTGCACATTTCACTTTCAAAATAAAGAATTTGCCTTTCTCTAATAGAGAGGTAAAATAAGGAGACATGCTAGCCATGCTGAAATGTTATAAATTTTAATACCTTCAGAACTGCATTGGAAGTCCTCAGGAAATTTCCTGTTAATGGAACTGCTTGGGTCATTATTCTTGGACTGTAAATCTGAGCGTGTTCAGCCAGAAGCAAGGCTTGCAGTTCTTTTGCCTTATTCAATAGACCTTTGGCTGACTCCACATCCCAAAGATGCACTTCTTACTGCAGCACGTTTTAAGCTTGGCAGGAAACAGGATTGCAGTAGGTTCCCTCTGCACCAAACTTGTGCTTTGTCAACAGGAGATCCTGCCCTCGTTCCGGCAGGGCATGGAGAAGCTCGTGTGCCCTAGTGAGAGGTACATTTCTGACTCCTTGCCTTGTGCCAAACACTCATCTGTCACAGCCTCTTTGTTCTCAGTTAAGCTTCTCTTCTTATCAGTCTCTGAAACCTGAAACTGCAACATCTCATGCTACTGGAAAGCCTTGATTTTTTTTTTTTATTATTACTTCTAAGCAACCTAAAAAAATGGACACTGCTCAGTCTGCTTGTCCAGTGACTGCTTTTCTATTGGTTGTGATTGTCTTAGCCAGGCCATCATTCTTACCTCTCTGTTCTCCTACAGCATTTCTGCAGTCATGATTTCAGGCCTCTTGGTAGGCTGCAAGCAAGCGGGGCATTGAGGTTCCTCTGGGAAATCATGGCTCTGCTTTGTCTGGCAGACCTTGTAGCTGTGCAGGTGTCTGTCTGGCTTATCCACTACCTGAGGCTTTGGGAATTTCTTCAGTTAAAGCCATAAATAAGGAGTGTTGTCATGCCCACACTTGAAAGGTAAACAGCAAAGATCTGCTTTAGGAATTCTGGTGGGGTGCAAGGACACGGACATGTCTGTGCTGTCCAGACATAAATTTGTCTATTTTAGAGAGTATAAATAGAATATATAAGGATTTTTAGTAAATTCAATAATAGCTGTTGCACATTGATTTTTAATTTTTAGATAGTTTCTGGGAGTTGTGGGATCTCAAAACTGACTGGTTTTGTTAGTTGGTTTAATAATTCCAAAATATAATTGATATCTTAAATTGAGTAATGTAACTTAATCACAGTCTAAAACATCTTAAACTATTATATTAAATTTGCTGGTTTGGAGCAAATATCCTACTTGTTACTGACAGTCTGGTAGGTCATGGCTTTGATAGTATAGTTCATGTCTGGGTTGTCATGGCTTACTATTGTTCTTTTTAGGAATAAGTGAAAATTTGAAACAGATTGTGTGGAAACAAACTCTTGGCTGGTGTGTCTTGATATATCCCCTCATTTAAGACTGACTGCCTTTGCAAAGGGCAAGTTGCAGGAAAAGTGTAAAGTCAGCCTGTGGCCTGAGAGGGTTTTGCCAAAATAGGTTGCACTGGGGAAAAAAAAAAAAGATTCCTAACTTCTAATTTCATTCTTTGATGAGAACATTTAATTTAATAGTTAGAATAATAATAAAAAAAGCTTATTTGAATTTCACCTACCCATTCTGAAAGAGATTTGTGTGAATGCATCTTCACAGGCAGGCTCAGCTGATCAGGTGCTGTCTCTGTAAATCACACAGCGGCAAACAGGTAATTCCTGCTGCCTACTTAATGTTACAGGTAATTGTAAATACAAACATGAGTACAATAAAGAAAATGGAGCTGGATAATCCTAATCTTGGAAACATCTCCATGGAGTGTGAATGCCTTGGAAATTTAGCTGTGTAATGTCTCTGAAACTTCGGAATGCTGAACATGTCCCTTATTTCTGCTTTCAGCACCTCATCCCGTGTTGCTAAAGGAATAGACTACAGCAAAATGAGCCTCCATGGTGCGAGTGGTGGACACGAGAGATCACGGGACAGGCGCCGATCCAGTGACAGATCTCGTGACTCGTCCCACGAAAGAGCAGAATCTCAGCTCACTCCATGCATCAGGAATGTCACTTCACCAACAAGACAGTATCACTCTGGTGTGTGCAGATCTCTGCCATTGCAGGACTAAAATTCTCTAGATTTGAGTACTATTTTCTTGAAGGAATACAATAAAAAGTGTTATTTGTTGATGGCACAATATACAGATTTCTTACATGTGCCCTGGGGTGGGAATGCCCTTCTTTCATGGGCTATAACTTTTTTTCCAGTCTGCCATGTGTATTCCTACATGATGCTCTTATTTAGTTCAAATCACAAGAGCAATCTAATTTTTATAAGATAATTGACTGAACACATCCCCTTTACTTTATAGGGTCTAGGTATTTGGAAATAGAGGAAATAGGGATTTTTTCAAGTGACAAAATATGGTTTGTTTCTTTGAGCTGTAGTACCCACTGTGATGCAATAGCTTCTGAGTTATGCTGAGTTCCTTTTTCAGTACTAGAGTAATAAATTTTCTTTGTAAAGACTTTTGGGGAAGGTGAGGTGGATTTGATGTCTAGGTGGTACAGACTTTGGAATCTCATAAATGGGCAGTTATTTTTGAAGGTGTTTTTTAACTAGAATAGATTTAACCAAAATAATTTGTACTTAACTTCTCAAATGGATATGTTTTGTACCCAGAAAGACACCAAGTGCATAGGACTCATGTAAATCTCTAATTTCATTTCCTGTTTTTTCTCCTTCCACCTCATCACCGCCGAAGATCGCGAGAAGGATCACAGTTCATCTCGGCCCAGCAGCCCCCGGCCCCAGAAGACATCCCCCAATGGTTCTGTTGTCAGCATGGGCACCAGCAGCAGGAACAGCAGCCAGTCCAGCTCAGATGGCAGCTGCAAGGCTGGTGGGGAGATGGTGTTTGTCTATGAAAATGGCAAAGAGGGAGCTCGCAACGTCAGAACATCCGAGCGAGTAACGCTCATCGTGGACAACACCAGATTTGTTGTAGATCCTTCCATCTTCACTGCACAACCTAACACAATGTTGGGCAGGTTTGTATCTCTTTTGCTTTTGGTTTCTTCCTTAGTCCCCAAATGTTATAGAGAGCTGGATATTTAAACTATTTGAATAGCCATTGGGCTCATATTGCTGCAGCTGATCTTGCTCATGTTAAATATTACCAGTTTGCAAATGTCTTTAAGTGAAAATTCAATGCAAGTGCTCTGGTTTTGGCAGGGAAGCCAAGAAATGTCTATTAACTAGAGATGACAGTTGATAAATAAATTACCATTTCATGATGTTCCCATTTCTTTGTGTCTTCCTGGGCATTGTTTCTATGTTCATTCTGCCTCACTCTTCCTCATTTTCCAAGCTAGGTGCTTCATAAAATGAAGTGGCATAGCGAGTGTAGACAGTCTCTTTCACAACAGCAAGGAGGAAAATCTTGAAGAAATTTATTTTGCTTAGTGAGCCTACCCTGACAATATTCAAGCTCAGCCCATTTATCTTCTGAAATGTCAAATGATCAGTGTAACAGCCCTGAGCCACTCAGCGGAGAGGCTGAATGCTTAAAATGATCAACACTTGAATGCAAGTCCGCAATGTGTGTGTAATGTTTTCTGTAGAAACTATAATGAACAACATATTTAACGTGTTTGCTTGGTGGGAAAAGATTCATTACTTGACTTGGTCAAATTCTTGTTGGTTTTGCCTTGTCCAAATGCAGAAGGCACCACTCAAAATCTTGCTTCAAGAAAGAAAAGAAAGGTTTGTCTGTGTCACTTCATTAAAATACAGCTATTTCTCAGCACACGAGGATATAATCATATTTAAGATACACATTTATAAATCTCTTTGCCACACTACAGGTAATAAATGTGATTAAACAGTTTCTGCTCTGTTTAAATCACTGCAATGTGGGATAAATAGTACCTTGGATCCCTGTTCTGTGAGAAGCTGGGTGAGTCACAGAGAAGGCAAGAAATGCTTCTCTGTCTAAACTGTCAAAGGAAATAAATGGAAGTAAGAATCAATAGAATTAAATAATTAATTTAAAGCACTTGTATATTATACAATACATGCATACATATAAATATCCAGACAGACTGGAAGTGTATCAGCTGAAAAGAAGCAATAAAATAATTTCCTTTTCCATGCCCAGCCTTAGAGTAGGTGGTGCTGCCTAATGCACTGGATTTTTTGTGCATGTGTGATGCTGAGTTATTCTCCCTTTGGGATTGGTTCAAGGAACAAGCTTATTTTATCTTCTGCTAATTGAAAAGTAGGTTAATAAAGATATGGAAATAGTGCTCTAACACACAGGTTATTTATAAACCCACTTTCCCTCAATGTCAGTCTGCAGGACAGTAAGCATGAGCAGCTTGGGAGGTAAAAGTAGCTATAATAACAATGTATTATTTGCCTTAAGCCTGTGTCCTGTTAGACCCTGTTTTTCTATGTATTATTTCTTGTAGGGTGGTCAGAAAGGACACGTCAGATCATGAGGTGAAAAACGTAATCCCAGCTGAACAGAATGCACTGCTTTTCCCCTGCAGTTTCTGTACAATTTCTTGCATTTTATTTTTCTTATTTACAAACAAGAAAACCATAATGAGGAATTCTAACCCAAATTGCTTTCATTCTTGAGCAGGATGTTTGGATCAGGCAGAGAACACAACTTTACACGGCCCAATGAAAAAGGAGAGTATGAAGTTGCTGAAGGAATTGGTTCCACTGTGTTTCGTGCTATTCTGGTGAGTTTTTAGGGGCAAATACTGTTAGGACAAGCACTGTTAAGAAGTAAAACCTCTTGGTTTAACCCAACTTGTATATCTAGATTTGTGGATGGCACAGATACTGCTCTTTATATTGTTTAGTAGAGGGGGGAAGATGCTTGATATGAGCCCCCTTTTCCTAGACGTGAACACATGACAGTCAGGGAGAAAGAAAGTACTCATGAAAGAAACCAAAAATTACTGCTGCCAGCACTCAGTTCACCTTTTCCTACACATTTAGTTCACCAAATTCAAGTATATTCTGCCTTTCTAGAGCTGAAATTAGGTGAAACAGAATACTGGAAGTGAACTTCACGCAGCTAACAGGAGTAAAGCAAACTTCAGTCTGAGATGGAAATGGCCATTTACTATCCACACAAGGATGTAGAGCTGCTTGGACTGCTTTGTCAGCAGCCTCAGAATGGGAAGAGCTCAGTGAAGTACAGATAAAAGACAGCAAAATTATCAGTATTAGTAGTTGTCACTTAAATGACATTTTTAACCAGAACTCACCGCTCTGAATGCAGCTCTGATAAATTCGAGGACAGGAAGATTTACAAAGTTTAACATTTGTTGCTCTCTTACATTTTGGGGGCTTTCTTTGTGGAGAAGGTGTCATAAATGAAATGATGCAATGTTTCTGCTGGTGGATGTTGTGCATTGTGTTTTTCTTGGTGCATCCTGCAGGATTACTACAAGACTGGGGTGATACGCTGTCCTGATGGGATATCTATTCCTGAATTGAGAGAAGCGTGTGACTATCTCTGTATCTCCTTTGAGTATAGTACTATAAAATGCAGAGATCTGAGTAAGTACAGAGTTTATTAAAATAATTTGAATTATACAAATTGACTTAAGTGCGTGTGTGTTAATTCTAAATCATGTCCTTTATTGAGATAAAGAAGATGGCTGGCACTACATGAATAAAATCCATCCCTTTTTATCTCTTATGTAATAAAGCCCTAAAACCAATGGACTGATGTTCCTTGAAAAATAATGTCTGATATTTCAGCATCTAATTCTGTGCCATGGTCACCCTGTGGAATACTTAGCTCTATGATTGCATTTGCAGTACAGATACAGTAACATTCAGTGGTACCTTTTTTTGCAGAGGACAGGGAGGATAATTTTTCAGCTCCTTGATTGGAGAATGGGGCTGTCTCCCTGGTGGCAGTAGCACAGCTTTGCTGCTGGAGTGGGCTGCTCCAGGATTCCCAGCACGTGCTGTTCTCTCTGGCTCTCTTGGGCTGAGCACAGCCCAAGCCCTGTGCCTCTGGTTACTGTGCTCCCCCTGTGTGTGCAGTGCAGGGCCAGCCTGTGGCATTCCTGCTGGGAATGCTGTGCAGGACCCCAGTGCCTTCCCTGGCAGGGCCACCCACCCTGCCCCATGCCCAAGCTCTCTGTCCTTACAGGGATTTAGCAGCGCCTGCCCTGGGGGCTTTGAGAAGCTTTGGTTTTAAGCTGCTGCTTATGAAAAGTGGGTTGTGTGCTCTGCCTCTCCCAGCAACTGGCTTAAATGATGTTTCTTTTAGGAAAACCAAGAGCAGCCTTGCACAATTACCAAATATTTAGCAGTAGTGAAACGCACAGGAGGTCTCAAAGTCTGCCCAACACTATGTTATTATCTGCAGGACAGGCTGGTAAATATTCAAACGAGGTCTGAACCTACATAAGCTCATAGACTGTCTTTGCACCTGTCTGCAGTAATACTACAAAATAAATAAATCTTACTGCTTTCTTATTGCTGCCTTCATCTCTTTACCAAGCTCTCAAATGTGCCTATGCTTAAAATTTTCTTCTAGGTGCTCTCATGCATGAATTGTCAAATGATGGTGCTCGCAAGCAATTTGAGTTTTACTTGGAAGAAATGATTCTCCCATTAATGGTAGCCAGTGCCCAAAGTGGAGAGAGGGAGTGCCACATTGTTGTGCTGACAGATGATGATGTTGTTGACTGGGATGAAGAGTATCCCCCACAAATGGGAGAGGAGTATTCACAAAGTAAGTTTATCCTCATTGTTCCCACCAAGCTAAGCTGTGGTAGAGGTAGCAGTCAATGTGATTTAAAGTTGTTGTACAGAAATGAACCTCTTAGTTTGAGTAGTTCTGCTTAATATTTTGTTTCACAGAAGCATATGTTGTTTGTTATCTTCACATGTAATTAAAAAGAGAAGCTAATTTTTATTATTAAGGTATTGTTAGCCAGTGAGGAGGGAGAAAATACTTCAGAAAGAGCTTGAGGAGGGAAATGGGTAGGAGTCATGTTTACTGTGGGAGAACAACTAGAGGTTTCTTTGAGGAAAAAAACAAATGTTACTATTTTTGGAGTGTTACAGTTGTGTGGATGATGAGTTTAAGCACCTGTAAATGGACTGTACTTCCCTGCAAGATGTGCACCAAACCCATGCCCCAGTATCTTCAACTGCTATTCTCTAGAGTTCTTGAATTTCTCCCCCTCATCTGAAATAAAAATACTGGAGTAAAGCAAAACAGTGGAAAAGATAAACTTTTGTGTTTTAAGGCTAGAAGGTTAGTATTTGAATACAGGGATTTTTTTTCTGATTAAAATGTATTTTTAGTTATTTACAGCACAAAGTTGTATAGATTCTTCAAATACATTGAAAATAGAGACGTGGCCAAATCAGTTCTGAAGGAAAGGGGGCTCAAGAAGATCCGACTGGGCATCGAAGGTAAGGGAAACATTGCCTGTGCTCTCCCTCGCTGGCCTTCAGGCTCTGCTGCACTTCTCTGCTGCATGCAGCTGGAAAAGCACGGGGTCAGTGCTGTCTTTCCTACTGAGGCTGGTGACAGAATGGCCAGAGGGGGAATGGTACCCAGCTAGAAACCTGACTATGGGCTCCAGACTGCTGTCCAAGCTGTGGGCTCTGTGCAGACAGCTTAGGTGCTTTCTACTGCCTTCATGACCTGCATCTCATGCCCTTTGCCCTTTAGTTTCCACAAAATCTTCTCTGTGCTTTGTCTGAAGTAACAAGGCATTTGTACAGCTTTGGATGTTGTGTTCTTGGGCTGTATTCTTTCCAGGGAGCAAAATGAAAAATGTCATGTTATGTGTCAGGCAGACATTTTCTTTCAGGAAGTACAAAACTATCCAGTGGATCAGTGAAATGAAAAGAAATACTGATCTGAAATAAACATCACGTAAGTTAGGAGGCTGCTCTCTAATATCTGACTGAGTAATCTGATTTTTAACATGAATGTAAGAACTGGATTTCTTTGCATTACATTTTTCTTCTGATTGCTGACCCAGATATTTTAGAATCCAGCCTTTATAATTAGCAGGATTTCTATCATTCACTTACCAAGTTGTCATAGTTACGTTTGTAATTTGCCAAGAAAAAGCAAATGCTTTTAAGTGGTGAGCCCTAAAATAACTAATTTCAACTGAACAAGGTGGGAGCCTTTTAGCTAAACAAGAACTGGCCCTGCCTGAAATGCTGGCTAATAGCAGATTATTTCTGCTGGCATTTCTTGGTTTGACAAGGAACAGCTGTGGCACCAAACTGTGATGCTGGTGCCCTGCACTAATGTGTAAAATGGACATTATTGATGGGGCACAGGGAGAGGTGACTTGAACACAGCACAGCCATGTGCACTGGCAGTGCCAGCGGCTGCTGTGCTGTGTCCCACAGCGCTGCTGGGGCTGTGCTCTGTACAGTCAGTGCTGATGGGGCTGTGCTCTGTACAGTCAGCGCTGCTGGGGCTGTGCTCTGTGTCCCACAGTGCTGCTGGGGCTGTGCTTTGTACAGCCAGTGCTGATGGGGCTGTGCTCTGTACAGGCAGTGCTGGTGGGGCTGGGCTCTGTACAGTCAGCGCGGCTGGGGCTGTGCTCTGTACAGGCAGTGCTGGTGGGGCTGGGCTCTGTACAGTCAGCGCGGCTGGGGCTGTGCTCTGTACAGGCAGTGCTGGTGGGGCTGGGCTCTGTACAGTCAGCGCGGCTGGGGCTGTGCTCTGTACAGGCAGTGCTGGTGGGGCTGGGCTCTGTACAGTCAGCGCGGCTGGGGCTGTGCTCTGTACAGGCAGTGCTGGTGGGGCTGGGCTCTGTACAGTCAGCGCGGCTGGGGCTGTGCTCTGTACAGGCAGTGCTGGTGGGGCTGGGCTCTGTACAGTCAGCGCGGCTGGGGCTGTGCTCTGTACAGGCAGTGCTGGTGGGGCTGGGCTCTGTACAGTCAGCGCGGCTGGGGCTGTGCTCTGTACAGGCAGTGCTGGTGGGGCTGGGCTCTGTACAGTCAGCGCGGCTGGGGCTGTGCTCTGTACAGGCAGTGCTGGTGGGGCTGGGCTCTGTACAGTCAGCGCGGCTGGGGCTGTGCTCTGTACAGGCAGTGCTGGTGGGGCTGGGCTCTGTACAGTCAGCGCGGCTGGGGCTGTGCTCTGTACAGGCAGTGCTGGTGGGGCTGGGCTCTGTACAGTCAGCGCGGCTGGGGCTGTGCTCTGTACAGGCAGTGCTGGTGGGGCTGGGCTCTGTACAGTCAGCGCGGCTGGGGCTGTGCTCTGTACAGGCAGTGCTGGTGGGGCTGGGCTCTGTACAGTCAGCGCGGCTGGGGCTGTGCTCTGTACAGGCAGTGCTGGTGGGGCTGGGCTCTGTACAGTCAGCGCGGCTGGGGCTGTGCTCTGTACAGGCAGTGCTGGTGGGGCTGGGCTCTGTACAGTCAGCGCGGCTGGGGCTGTGCTCTGTACAGGCAGTGCTGGTGGGGCTGGGCTCTGTACAGTCAGCGCGGCTGGGGCTGTGCTCTGTACAGGCAGTGCTGGTGGGGCTGGGCTCTGTACAGTCAGCGCGGCTGGGGCTGTGCTCTGTACAGGCAGTGCTGGTGGGGCTGGGCTCTGTACAGTCAGCGCGGCTGGGGCTGTGCTCTGTACAGGCAGTGCTGGTGGGGCTGGGCTCTGTACAGTCAGCGCGGCTGGGGCTGTGCTCTGTACAGGCAGTGCTGGTGGGGCTGGGCTCTGTACAGTCAGCGCGGCTGGGGCTGTGCTCTGTACAGGCAGTGCTGGTGGGGCTGGGCTCTGTACAGTCAGCGCGGCTGGGGCTGTGCTCTGTACAGGCAGTGCTGGTGGGGCTGGGCTCTGTACAGTCAGCGCGGCTGGGGCTGTGCTCTGTACAGGCAGTGCTGGTGGGGCTGGGCTCTGTACAGTCAGCGCGGCTGGGGCTGTGCTCTGTACAGGCAGTGCTGGTGGGGCTGGGCTCTGTACAGTCAGCGCGGCTGGGGCTGTGCTCTGTGTCCCTGCAGCGCTGGTGGGGCTGTGCTCGGTACAGTCAGTGCTGATGGGGCTGTGCTCTGTGTCCCCACAGCGCTGGTGGGGCTGTGCTCTGTACAGTCAGTGCTGATGTTGCCGTGCTCCTGCCTTTGCCAGGTTACCCCACGTACAAGGAGAAGGTGAAGAAGCGGCCGGGCGGGAGGCCGGAGGTGATCTACAACTACGTGCAGAGGCCGTTCATCCGCATGTCGTGGGAGAAGGAGGAGGGGAAGAGCCGGCACGTTGACTTCCAGTGCGTGAAGAGCAAATCCATCACCAACCTGGCGGCGGCAGCAGCAGACATCCCGCAGGACCAGCTGGTGGTGATGCACCCCACGCCGCAGGTGGACGAGCTGGACATCCTGCCCATGCACCCCGCCCCCAGCAGCAGCGAGCCGGAGGCCGAGGGCCAGAACCCCCCGCTCTGATGGCGCTGCCCCACCGCAAGCATGCTCCTCCAGTGACCGTACCCAGCTCATACACGCTGCAACGCCAGTTTCTCCATTGTGTTCCGGTGTTTAGGATATTGCGGCAGGGACCTGGCACGGCCCCGGGGGATGCCCGGTCGCTGTGGGAGGAGCGCAGCCCGGCGCTGGGCTCGGTGACGTTCGTGTCCGTGTTTACCGGTAGGTTTGTGACGGTGGTGACTCCTGAGCTGGCCTGGCCCCGCTCCGCGGCCCCGCGGCGCTGTCGTGGCGCGGGGTTAGGAAGCAGAGTGGGAATTGATAGTAGCACTTTACAAATGGTTGAGAAATGGAATTTGAAGCCATTTTTTATAAATGTATTGCACAATACTAACAAAGTGCTTCTATCAAAGGTATTAACTGTACATAGTTTTGCTCTGAATAGATTGACCCTTTTAAAGTTATTGTATATGGTTGAGCACAAAACTACTTACTCTTGGGTTTTTGGATTGAGGACGCGATTCAATGACCCATGTAACATCTTGTTCAAGTTCTTTAGTGAATTTTTTCACTTGTTTGCAGCGTGAGCCATGTTCAAAAATTGTGAACAACGGACAGGGGCTTTATCTTAAATTTTGCCTTACCTTAAGCTGTTCACAAATATTTATTTAATACATTTTTCATAAGTGTCATGAAATAGGAAAATGCAAATGGTTCGTTCTTCATTTATTAATGATTGTAAACAAGTTTTTCATGCAAATAAAGTTTCCATTATTTTAATGGGCTTGAATTATCTGTGAATTACGAATTTTGCCAGTAGTTGCTTTTGTTTCCTCAGGGGAGGGATTAATATTAAGTGAAAAACAAGTGTTTCTTAAAGATAATTAGCCTATTTCAATGCACCTGCCTGTTGTGCTTTTCTCAGGATCAGCTTGAATGTAGGAATAAGTAACAATAGCTTCTTGGGGAATATTGTCATGACAAAGTCATCTAAGTGTAGGTAAGGCACTGGCTTTCCTCCCTTTTCCCCCAAGGCTAAAGAATGATAAATACCAAGTGCTTCTAGCATGCACCTTCAGCAGGGTTTTATCAAATTTATTTATCAAAGTAAATGCTCCATCTTAGAACAAGGGAAACATTTATTTTAAAAATATTTAACTGTCTAATACATTACACTTTAACAATATTTATAGTAAAGGATTCTTACAAGAAAGAATAAACAGCTTTATGGTACAATTAGTATAAGAAATATCCACATGGGGACTGTTTTGCAGTGTAAAAACACACCATACATCTGAAATGGTCATTTGCATATAAAAGCTACCACTGATGCCAGTGAGTCGCACAGTGATTTAAAAAAAATTTCAAACAACAGAATCCAAAATATACAAGTATTGCAAGCTATACACAGCTAACCAAATCAACACAGAACACTGTAGCAGGTTATTCCACTTTGTCTGAAGTTACACATGGTAGGATGGGTTGCATTCTGACGCAGCTTTTATGAAGTTCCCACATAAAAGCCTCTCGGTGCCGCGGGTTTCCCAGAGTGCGGAGCTGCAGCAGTAAATGCACTTGGCTGTGGGGCGCTGGGTCGCTCACAGGGGCCAGGGCAGGTCGCTGAAGTCCACGGGGCCGCCGAGCCCCGCGTCGGCCTCCAGCAGGCTCATGATGACCGCCATGGCCGCCTCGTCGTTGCTGGGGCTGCTGGAGCCCTGCTCCGTGTCGATCATGTCCATGCCGATGTGGGAGTTCTCCCCTGCAGGAACGGCACAGCCAGCGCCTCAGCGGGGCCGCTCCCCTCCCTGCAGCGCCCCGCGGGGGCACGGCCGGCCTCTGGGGCCGGGGACAGCCCCGGAGGGACCGGGGCGCTCCCCAGCAAGGGCACCGCGCCTCACAGGGACAGCCTGAGTGCCAGACCGCACACACAACACTGCAGCAGCTGGAGAGCTGCTGAGCTACTTCACACTGACTCAGGAAAAGAGGCTTCCAAGCACTGCCTAAGGAAATTCCAGCATGAAGGAACTTCACAAAACAGGCTGCCAGGCGCCTCTTTGGGCACAGAGTGCGTGGCTGTGGGCTTTATGCCTCAGCTGGAGCCTGCAGGTGGCGAAAGCAAATTACTGCTAAAACCAACCAGCGTCCATGTGTGTTCAGCTGGTACTGGGGGTGCTCACGTGTGACTTCACTTACCCAGGATAGAGGAGTTGTCGGAATACGGGTAGCCAGAATTATCCTGGATTTGCCCAGACAGCAGCCCAGCTGAAGAAATGTCTGGAGTGCCACCATTCAAGATCTTGAAAGACAAAACAGAAGCTCTAAAGCAGCATGAAATGGTGCATTAAGTTTTAAACTGTCCTGAAATTTTTAATATAGGGTAGATGAACTTCCCAAAATAACCCTGTGGTTTATAACAAACGATCTTCTAAACAAGGAGAAATATCTAGGGGGTGCTGAAAACACCCAACCCTCCGCCTGCACTTTCCTTTATGCCATGCCAGCAGCCCCTATTCTGTGACATGTTGAATACTGCAGGGCAGAAGAAGAAAGAATAACTATTACCAGAATTGTAACTGCTCCAACCTGGTGTTTTATTTCAAGACCAAAGCTGGGAATAGACAGAAATATTTACTGTCTGTTCCTGTACAAGCAATTCTTACAAGCAAGTCATCATTTCTGAGAAAAAAAGGTTAAGTAAGTCTGAAGCAGTGCATAAGGATCTGGGTAAGTGTTCTTGCTTTGGATAAAACTTCCATAAGCATTTAGAGATTGCTGGAAGCGGCCAGGACAGGAGTTCAGGTGGCTCAGTGCTGGTAATGGCACCTGAGTGCTACTCAAGCAATCTTAGAGCAAGGCAGGTGCATGGCGTTGACTTAAAAATAACTCTGAGTGCCCGTGCACCCAGCTGTGCTGGTTTGTGCTCAGGAACACCGCTGGCACTGGCTCGGGCACAGCCGTTGCTCCAGTGCCAGCACTGCCAGCCTCCACCAGCACGGGGTGTCAGAGAGTTTTTGGAGGGTGGAGCGACACGGGGAGAGCCGTTCCTTGCAGCTCTGCTGCAAACATCCAACCGAAAGGGCGGCTGAGTGTCGAACACTGCTGGAGTTGGGACGTGCTGCTGGCTGCCTCCAGGCAGTGCTGTGCAGGGGGTGTGACCACCGCAGCGCTTCGGCCGGGCCCCTTTTCCAGCCCAGCAGGCAGGAGCTGCTCCCTGAGCACAGTCCCACGTCCCCTGCCCTGGCTGCCCCAGCCAGGGGGAAGCTTGCTCTTACCTTCTTCCCTCCTGGCGAGGATGTGTCGGGTGGGGGGGTGCTGGTGATGTTCAGGGGACTTGAGCCACAGCTGGAAGGTGATGATCCCCTTATCCTAGAACATGCATAAAACAGGGCATGCGTTTACAAGCCGCTCAGAGACTTGGAGTTTTAAATACTGACTTCGGTATCAGGTGCCATAAGATGCAAAAAGCAGGAGCTTCATTTTTGTAATCTCCCTTTTTCAGTGTTCCTCACACCAGCAGGAGCAGCAGGGCTTTGCAGCCAGACCAAGAGGCCTGTGTAAATCCAGCCTGCTTGATCTGCAAGCTTTACTGCCTCCCTGTATTTTTCTGGACAGCCTTCACAGAGTCAGAAGGAAAAGGTCCTGGCTGCTAAAGAAAGCCTCATTTTTGAGTATTTTGCTTCAATTTCCACCAGCTAAGAGTTCCAGCTGCCTCAGTCACACTAACCCAGACTCCTCCAGTGAGCTCCTGCTACAGAAGGCCACTGGATGATTTGTAACTGCGCAAAGCCACATTGTTCACTTCCATTTTCCATAGCCTGATCAAACATCATTAATAATGTATTGACTGAAGCACCAACGAATCTCCAGACCAAAGGGAGGAGGGGTAGGTACAGAGAAAAGCAATGGAAATGGGATTCTTCTCCTTGGCAGAGTTCCCCTGGGAAAGCTGAACAGAAGGCAGCTTTGGAAAATAGTAACAGCTGCTCAAAAAGGACTGGAACTAACCCAGGGTCCGAACTGAAATGCAAACACGGGTGCTAACTGCGCTACTACACTCACTTGGGCTAATTAAATGTTTTACAGCTACTAAAAGGGATGGTTAAGCTTCAAAGTAATGATTCAGCCATGTTTTTCTTCTTTTCATCTTTCCCCTTTTTCCTATTCCTACAGAGAGGAATGAAGCCTTAGGGATAGATCTGCTGCTGCCTGAAGTGAGGACAGGGGGAGTCTCCTGCCTGCAGCAGGAACAAAACTGTGGGAAACAGACTGAATGTGTTCCTGGACTGCAGCTCAGTCTGGTTAAATTGCTACCTGAACATCTGCTGAGTGAGACCCCTTTTACAGGAAAGGGAACACAGCTCCCAAGAGGAAATCAGTGGGGAAAGGGATTTTTAGCCAACAGAAATGGAAGTGGTACCCACTGAAAGCAGCTGCTCACACAGGTGAGAACACGAGAAGCAGCTGTGGATCCCCACAGTCCCTCAGTGACCCTGTGCTTGACCCAGCCCCACAGCCTGACTGCCATGGCAAGGCCCCAGCATTGTGTCCTTGCTCCAAGAGCTGCAGGGGAACTGCAAAGCTCATCATGCACATCTAACAGCCCCAAAAGCATCTGAGCAAATGGGCTGCACGAAAACAAACATTGCTGTTTTGGCACACAGTCAATAGCTTTGGCATTTGAAGGTTGTGCCACTCACAGCCTCAAGTCACTGGGAAAAGAACAGTCTGGAATGGATTTGTTTCTAGGTAGCTGCTCTTTTTAACTCCTCTTTCTGGTAAACAGGCCTTCATCCTCACCACTGCAAAGAAATGCCAGTATCAGTCTCTTGCAGCAGGAAGCTGGAAGGCTGTAACTTCATGCTTTCCCTGTGGGGGCTGACTGCCTCAGGGAGGCTGAACAGGAATCTGTAGCTGTCTCAGTACAGTTGGATCATTCCTTATTCAGCTTGAATAAATTGTTCTTTCAGAGGAAATTAAGGAAGTCTAACTCCTCTTAAAGAACAGGAATAAAACAATTTAACTTCACACCATTTTCTCTCACCTGTGAATCTCCATGATTTCTTCAGCAATCATCCTCCCTATTTTACCTGCCCCAGCTCTTGTTCCACCTGGAATTCCAGGCACAGTGGGATGGGTCCTTTTGGGGCCACCTGAAATGAGCAGAAATTTTAAGGTCAGAGAAAAGCTTGCAAACCTTCTCCACAGGGCTTTGAGTGGCTTCAGGACCTGAACAGGATTTATTGACAGTTCCAGCAACTGCTGAGTGCCTTCAAATGGATGAGAAGTCTGGCTTGCACTGGGCTGTGCTGGGTCTCAGATGTCCCTCTGTGCCAGCAGGGACAGGACAGTCCCCAACTCTTTTAGAATCTGGCTGTTCTCTTTCAGAATTGAGCACCTGGTGCTACTTCTTGTCCAGATCTGGTACAGCATGGCCTTGTCAGACCTGCCCCGCTCTGTGCCCAAACAGGCTCTTCTCCAAACATGTTTGCTCTCTGCTTTGTGTGAAGAACTTGCCAGTGCATATTCCACTCAATAGGAGATAAACCCAAGGCAGCTGATGACTGCAAATGAAGCCCCTGCAGGTAACTGCAGGAATCGAAAAGTGAAAGGGAAAGTGAGGTCTGAGCAGTTAGGAGCTGTTACTGTAATGTGACTTCACACTTGGGAGGTTGGAAAGAACACCTCCACTTGGGAGGAGCACTGGGAAAGAGCCTGATATACTCCAAGCAGAGAAAAGCCCCCAGTGAGAGGGCAGGAAAGGCCTCAGCACTGCTTATGCA